TCTCTCTCTCTCTCTCTCTCTCTCTCTCTCTCTCTCTCTCTCTCTCTGTTTCTCTCTCTGTCTCTGTCTCTCTGTTTCTCTCTCTCTCTCTCTCTCTCTCTCTGTTTCTCTCTCTACAAAGAAACTTGTATCGTTACAGTGACAGGTGAATGGATGGATCCATGAATGTGTGAGTTATTATTAACTTTACTTTAGATCCAACACTTTACACACTGGGAATACTTCCAGATGATATGACAAATACATATTTCATTTCTTCACTGGGAATCCTACTCTTATAGGGATAGTTCAGTTTGTTTTAAGTGGGGTTGTATGAGTTATTTATCCATAGTCAGTGTATTACTACAGTAGATGGCCAGCTAAAAAAAAAAAATCAATATCAGTTTACCTTGCCTTTATAATATTCTAAATATAGCACACACTTACACTGATATTGATTCTTTTGGGTGTTTAAAATCTGTTTTGCTACCCCCCCCTCATCCACAGCAGTATACTGCTTTGCTCCTGTGATGGTTCTCCCGTCTGTTTCTCCAAACTCCATCTGTAGTAATTCACTGACTATGGAGAAGGAACTTTTTTTGTGCAATGAACAAGAGTAAATATGTGTATCTCGTCCATGTGTCTGTGTTCCAGGTGACTCCCCCAAGAGGACTTCCTGTTTACTCCTTTGTTTGTTTGTCAACATTTCACTATAAGGGAAAATAAAATCATCACATCGAGTAAAAAAATACCTGAGATGCCTCTCTTAAGCCAGCGTGGCTCCTCCAACACGATGAAGAAGTTTTCATGTTTTTCGTATTCTTCGTCATCAATTATCCTCACCTGGAATGACTGACTGCATGCGCGCGCACACACACACACACACACACACACACACACACACACACACACACACACACACACAAAAGCACAGAAACAAACAAATTAACGACAAACTTAGTAGTATGTAGTAGTAGTATGTATGCAGGGGAGCATCCATACTCACTCACACACACTTAGTGAAGTAAAGCATTTCATCAATAGGTAATTTACACACACACACACACACACACACACACACACACACACACACACACATACAGTACAGCATACAGCTGCCCACATGGTGGTATCCCTCCTGTTTTCTGATCAGGACCAGCTGCTGTGTGAATCACAGCAGAAGGAAGACGGATGCAGAGAGAGACGGTATCAATAATTCAGTCAGAGAGGTGGGAGCAGAGAAGGAAAGTAAAGAAGAGCTTCCCTGAGAAAAGGTTTGAGAGGACAGAGTTTGAGATGGATGATAATACAGATTTAGTTGGATCCTGACCAGATTTAGATAGGTGCTCATTTTCAATGTGTTGGTGTTGCAGGGATGAGTCCTAAAACCCTTAAACGAGTCAGTGTTTTTGCACTTCCGGTTCCCTCCTCTTAAAGTTGATTTGGGTTTTTGGTTAGATGCCGGAAATAAGGTCTGTGGTTAGCACAAGCTTAAGAGATTTTGTTCTACGATATAGGATTTGTTAGTAAATATCGGAGCTGTGGAATTTTGAAGCTTTTCAGTGTCTTAAAAAATGCGGTTGCTAAACAAGTGAGACGACAAAACGCCATCAGGCCGGCTGGTCCGCCTTCGTAGCATCGTTGCGTGCTTGCGCTCATGCAAGCGTATTGCAGTTGGTTTATAAATTAACGTTAGCTTTTTACTTATGGTGATTGCACAGCAATTCATGAAAATCATTAAAAAAAGGTGTTCGTTTGTCAAGATTGTATGAACAAACCGCGTAAGTGGCATAAACTTTGCCTTTGTCTTTGTCTATTTCCTGCAAAAATCCAAAATCGTATGAAAAAAAAGTCCCATTGGCTTTTTGTGGAGCGAACCAGAACGATGCTAACTTCTGGGGTTTGGCCTACCAAAATACGTCACCCCTGCAACACGTCCAGCGGTCACAAGGTAACATTAGCATCGAGTGGAGTCGTGTTTGTGTCCACCACATGATTACATGTCCAACATTCACTCTGCTTTCTGCTCTACATCTCTTTAGCTGCTAGATGTTCCACCTTCTTTACCAGCTGGTCATAACTGTGTCTGTCAACATACTATTGGGCAAGAATTTCCATCACATCTGCTTTGTGACCAGCAGCAGGAGACAAATAAGTTTGTACAGAGATTCTACAAGATACAAATGTATGAAAATGAAAAAAATCCATAATTCTAGCTTGACTCACGTGGTCTGGTCGTTGGAGAACTCCAGCTCTCCTCCGGCGTCCTCGTAGTCCTCGCCAGACTTGGCGGTGCCCGACTCGGTGCGGTACGGCAGGATGACGGTGCCGCGGGCACCGGAGTTGCGCACCACCGTCACTTCCATGGTGCCCACGCTCTCGCTCACCCGCACCATGCGCTCGCTGAACGTGAAGATGCCGGCGTGGTCGTCGTCCAGGATGGTCACCGTGGCGACCAGGGGCTCGAGCAGGCGAGCTTTGGGTGCGGCGCCCGCTTCGTCGCTCTCGAACATCCCCTCCGCGTCGCCCACACGCAGATTCAGCAGGCGCACGAAGAAGTGCTCGTCCTCTTCGAATATGTCGTCGTCGATTATACCGACCTGGAGAGAGAGCAGGTCGTTATCTTTAGGCTCCGATGATCTCAAGTTGATCTTTACTTTGATACCTGTTTACAATAAAACAGGCTGCGTCGCAGAGAGTCCAGTACTTTCTATATCAGGACCCTTTTGAGTGAATATAAGAAGTGGACGTAGCCACTGTGACGTCACCCATTACCTTGTGGACTGTGGTTTTTAAGTCTCTAGTTTGGCATTTTGGCCGTCACCATCTGTTTTTTTTGCAACCAGTGAACGGAAGTAACCTTGTTTGGAAAGTGGAGGAGTAACGTAGAGACGCCATATATGGCTATTGTAACGACATGTCAATCACAGTAGCCCCGCCCTAAAGCATGCCCTGCTTTATGGTCTGTTTGACTCTAAATGGATCATAATCTACTAAATGAACATCATGCTGTATTGAAGAAGACTTGAAACTAGAGATTGAGACCATAAACTCATGTTTACAATGTTTACTGAGGTAATAAATCAAGAGAGAAGTAGAGTCATTTTCTCATAGACTTCTATACAATAAGACTTATTTTTTCAACCGGAGGAGTCGCCCCCTGCTGGCCATCAGATATAATGCAGCAGGTTGAAGGCACTTTCACATCTGCTTCACTGTTTAGAACCGGAAGTTGCAATCTTGCAAAACCGAAGCTGTGTTTAAAATATCTATGTTTGTTTGTAGTCAGTTCAACCCATACTCTACAGGCGTTTCATCGATTGTAGATTATGCAGATTGTAGAGCAGCAAATGTAGCAAGTACAACTGATATGGATAAATGCAATCCGTTTTGCTGGCATGCATGCACAATATATACACGATGTATTAAGCAGAATCCTTTTAGTAAAGACACGGATCTCTGGAGTCAATATTGAATGTTTTCTATATAAGACGCTAGCAGAATAAAAAGACTTGTGTGATTATTATGTGAACTACAGTTTAATTTTAAGAATTCGAAGGGAATTGGCATCAATCCTGGTCTGGATGCTTGTGCTGAATACAGAGAAGAGGCAGGGCAAGGAGCATCTCCCTCAGCACACTCATAAACAGAGGCTCCGGTTACACCTCTCATCTACATGAGATTGTTATCCAATCATGCCACCGCGCACTAACCGAGAGGTGGGCGCTCCCAAATCAGATTAGGCTGGCATCGTAATCCAATGAGCCAGGCCACGTCCTGCTGTGTGTTCAGACTTCAACATATTCTGGTTGGCCATGATGCAACATGCAGAGATGAAATAGGCGAAAATGTGATTCCTTTTTGCAAGAGGATATAAATTGCTGGTAAATGTTTGAAGTTAGGATGGATAACAGATGTTTTGGCCTCTTGGTAATGATACGACTTTTACTTCCTCTAGATAGTCAAGTTTGATCGTCTTCATTATTTCTTGGAGATTTTGATGTTAGGATCTCCTTTAATTCTTACTTTTTTTTTTCACCTTTTTTTTTTTTTTCACCTTTTAAGATGATACGGTGAAGTTGGTAGCAAACTGTTGTCTATTTACACATCCGGCAATAACAGAGCAACGTGATCATTCATTAGAAGTCTTTGTGTTTAAAGAACCTGAAGACTGTAAGTCTAATATTCACTCTCTTTTAGCTCTGTTTTTGGTCTCCACCGACTCCTGAGGGAAATAGAGTGGTGCAGGAATGAGTCCTAAAACTCATAAATGAGTCAGCATTTTTGCCCTTCAGGTTTCCTCGTCTCGAAGTCAATGGATTTTTGGTTACATACCTGATATAAAGTCTGTGGTAACACAAGTTTAAGATGTTTATATAATATATCGTTTTTTTCTACGATATAAAATATGTCAGAAAAATCCCCTCTAGTAAATTTCTCAAGTTTTTATGAGTAAAAAAGCACAAAATGAGACAAAACCTCATCACACCGAGTACGAGCCCACCTTTAGCTTAGTGGTGGTGGTGTGGAGTCATGTGACCGTGGCGTTGTTCGTTTATAACTGACAAACTAAGCTTTTTACTTCTGGTGATTGCATAACGCCTCAGAAATCATAAAAGTGGTGTTCATTTGTGAAGATTATCTAGCTGAACAAAAGGTATAAGAACCATAAACGTGTGTTTGCCCATTCTCTGTAGATTCATCCCTACGACCACCTTTCACATTGCCATTTCATACACTGTTGTTATCAAAATGCCGCTTTAAAGAGTAACTAAACCTCCCGTGAAAATCTTGTCTTTACTGACCTCCAGTGATTTAACTTCTCATCTTGCAGCAGTGATGTAGAGATGTACTCCAGGACTCTTTGACATCACTGCAGGGTGTGGTTACAGGCGCAACAAAGCAAACTTCTAACTTGAAACTTTCAACCGGCAGTGACTCGCTGTTTTTTTTGTTTGGCTACTTATTAACCTTAATTCATGTATATTTAGTGCTACAACAATTAGTAGGTGACTTTCCCACTCCTTGACTTGGTTTGTGGTGGTTTCAGTGTTTCACTGTGTCTATGTCTCCCTCTTCTCTTCACTCACCTTAATCTCTCTGCGGGTCTCTCCGGGTTTGAACACCAGCGTTCCTTCGCTGTACTCGTAATCCGATCCGGCGTTAGCGGACCCGTCCTCCGTCCTGTAGTCCACGTAGAAGGTGTTCTCTCCCAGACCCCCTAAACACCAGGAATAAACAACAGAATAGAATAAACTACCCTAGAATAAATAACTCAAGTAAGATCTTAAATGCAGGACTTTTACTTTTACTTAAAGGGGAAGTGTGGTATGTATTATGGCTTGTAGCTTCAAGTTGGGATTGCAAATAAAATGTGAACTGATCAAAGACAGATAAAAACATGTAATTGAAATGTAAGTGTTCATTTGAAGAATACCCACCCTGGCAGACTACAGCCAGCGTCAGGACGCCACAGTTCTCCATGCACTGACTGTGGGCGCTTTCGAACGAGATGCGGCTGCACACTCCCAGGTCTTCCTCTTCTGGCGCCTCCTCGTCGGTCACGGCCGTGCGGCGAGCGTTGTCAGCCGCGTGCCTCTTCAGGACGTTACCGGCTCCGATCATCATGCGGGTCGCCTTGATGGAGACAGACAGACAGGAGGAGGATCAGTTTTTACAGAAGAAACAAAGTACATCATTCTTTCTAAAACATTTACATCAAGAAATAGACAGACATTTTTTAAATGTAATGGGTCACCAGTGCTGGAGGAAGTATTCAGGTCCTTAACTGAAGTAAAAGTACTAATATCACACTAGAGACACACTGTTACAAGTAAAAGGCCTGCATTGAAGCTGTTAACTGAAGAGTAAGAAACATTTGCAAAATGTATCAAAAGTATAAAAATGACTGTTTTACTATTTTATATTCTATCATGAGATTATTATTACTCGTGCATTCATGTAAAAGCAGGGTTCACTGTTGAAGTTGGTTGAGCTGGAGCTCATTTTGAACTATTAACTAACGATTCTTTTCATTATAGATCAATGTTCTTCACAATGACTCTGAGCACAAAGTGACACCTTCACTATGTTTGTTTAATCCAAACCTCAACGTCACTATGAACACATTTACATTATTAAGTAACTAAAGCTGTCAGACAAATGTAGTGATTTCCCCTGAGATGTAGTGGAGAGGAAGTATAAAGTAAAAGACTCAAGTAAAGTACAAGTCGCTCAAACTTGTACTTCAGTACAGTACTTGAGTAAATGTATTTAGTTACATTCCACCACTGTTTGTGACATCTGGACTTTTCATGTACAGTCATCATCCGCTTATAGAGATCAAAAAGTGTTTGAAACAGCGGCGCTTCAGCAAAGAGCTAATGGAGCAGTAAACAGCTGTTCAGTTCATAAACCTATATTCATGTGATCAATACACAAAATTCAATCAGATGGTAATATGCATTAGAAATAAATAAATAAATAAAAAATATTGGTTATAAATTGGTAATAATAATAATCCGCTTAAAGTGATCAATTTGACCTGGACAAACGTGATTACATTATATTATTACATTATATACGGAAAAGTGTTACAATAGTTGTTTAAAATGTTATTGATTTTCATAAAACATTTGTAGTTCCATCATGAGCAGAGTCTAAAAATGAGTATCAGAAATTCAAGTCCTTCAACTACTTAATGTCCTTCTACAGGTCTGGACAACCTTGTATTCACCTCAGGGACTATTTATGAATAATGTGTGTGTGTGTGTGTGTGTGTGTGTGTGTGTGTGTGTGTGCGTGTGTTTGTGTGTCACACCTGTATGCGGTAGAAGGCTCTGCTCTTCTGCTGGTGCAGCATAGCGTAGTAGTTTGCCAGCTCCACCAGCTGGTCCAGCTCTTTATCCGGATATTTCTGCTTCAGCTCCTTCAGGATACGAATCACCTGGAGGAGGAGACGAGAGGACGCACTCATGATCAGAATATCTAAACCACACACACACACACACACACACACACACACACACACTGACGGCATGCACGGACGCTTCTTTGCGTCTCTGTGGCGGGGAGGAAGGCCAGAGGAATTTATGCTTCGGCTTCCAGCTCAACAACTTCCTACAACCCCTTTCAAAGGCACTTCCTTTTAGTGAATAACCTATAATCATTTTCATGTTTTAACTTCTGTTGAACGACGGCTTGGTTTCATGTGTGGGTTGAAAAAAAAAGGTCAAACTTTATCAGCTGTTGAAAACATTTACAAAATGTTAAGATGCAGACCTCTAACTGGATAAAAGGAAGAAAATGTCCCTCCTTAAATTAAAAATATATAATGAACTGCTCTCCAACCAGATGAGTTAGGCCGAAGTTTAAATGCATCCAAGACATTCAGAGGCTGAGTGGATTCAGAAAATACAAGTTCAGAAGCCTTTGGTTGTTATCAGTGGCAAACACTTTTTAACATATAAAAAACAGGAAAAGAAACTAAATGTGCATCCCAAAATAAACACATTCTGTTATTTGTTGCATTAGTGATATCGAAATATTGCTGCGGTGTGTCTGTTTTAGAGACGATGATGAATAGTTGTTTAACGGCGGGGGGGAAAAGTTTGACTAACCCATCGACATCACAAGAGTAGTAGTATCATTGAACTGGACGAAAAATGATACTGCAAAGCATGTACTACATACACATGCCATGAATACATGTCCCATTTGTATTAGTAAGCTGTCGAATAACTGTATAATATCTTAATTACTAAAAATTATTTGGTGGCTAAAAATGGCAACCATATTTTCAGTTGCGGCAAACAAAAGCTGATGCCAGCCTGGCAACCAAGTTTTAAACGTTAGTGTTGAGCCCTGCAGCAGTTAATGCACCACATGGCGGGATGCAAACGTCACGTTCTATGATTGAAAATGAAATGAAAGCTGCAGGAGGAATGAATCAACAACAACCGTGACGATGGCAGAGAGCGTATCGCTTCGTCATGTAAAACCACGTTCGAGAGTATAATGGCGGAGATACACAAAATCTGACCAAACAACGGAAAGACGTGGCGGAACCCAAAACCGGTTCCGGTTTGCTCTGGACGGTGATCTGTGCCTGGCTCAAACTGTTTTTTAAACATGGTGTCCAGCTGACAAACTCTGTCATTTTACAGCCACATTTTAGGCGAGCAATAGGCGATCCAGTAACTTGTGATTTATACTTGTTAAGCGCCGGCTACGTTGACGGTTTGATCTGGGTTTCACGAGCCTGCTGATGTTGCGATCGACGGATCTTGTTTGCATAAAGTTGAGGTCGAGTCCTGATTGTGCAAATTCAGATACGCCGAATGGTCGGTCCACTCGCAGAGCCGCATCCATCATGATCTCCTGCTCGCCACAGAAAACGAATAGGATCCATCAATGGATTCGGTGAATCAAGGCTCTCCTCCCTACGCCACTTTATCGCTCTATACTACGTAACTTGGCCTCCTCCTTATACTCCCACCATAACTACTAACCTAGAGCGCCACAGTTTGACGCATAGGACCACTGACCACGCTGCCGTTTTAGAGGACTGAGAACGGGCTGGTATTCCTGTATGTCAGTATGCAGGCTAAAAAAGAAGTTCTGTGTTCTAAATGTAACGCGTATCTTAACTACATTTTCAGAAAATGCCAAATTAAAGATCGGTGTGTCCACACAGGCCACAAGCTGCCGATCTTTTTGTCTTTCATTCCGTCCTCCTCACTTTCGTTCTGGGAATGTTTCTCCCTCTGTGTCTCGTTTCTCCTCGACCTCTCTGACCCTCATCACGGTATTTTCATCTTTGTCCGTCCTCACACCTCTCTTTCTCATTACCTCTCAAACCCTCATTTCCTCTCCTTCTTCTCCTCAACGGTGAGACAACTCATCCCTCGTCAGGTTTAAATGTGGACCATTTCATCTTCATTTCCTCTGCACCTGCTTGAGACGGTGTTTTCCGTGTGAGCTGAATTATAAAGTCGAGAGGAACATGGTTTACATAAAGACTGGTATCGCGAAACACAAAACGAAGCATGCCTTTGGATGGGAAATGGAAATCCTTAACTAGAGCCATTCATCTCAGCTTTTACGGCCACTTTTTACTGTCTCCTGCAGGCAGATCATGTCATAATCGCAACAGTAGAAATCCTGTTTTCTATGTTAACTGCATTTTTCAGCGACGCAAAAACCTGTGAAAAGAGATGAGAGACTCATAACAGAGCACAATCTGCGGGGATAACAGCGTCTTACAGCCTATGTGTGAATTAAAAACTTGCTTCGCTCTCTTTGTCATTTCACCCTCTCTGTCAACAATCCGATGTTTGAACATTTTGGTAAGCTGTTCGGCACCAACCAGTGGTGTGTTTCAGGGACAGTGTGAGTTCTTTATAGGTTGACAAAAGGGGCGGGAGTATCAAGATCTTCAGGGGCAGATGGCAGGTCAACAGGAGATGTCACAAGTCCTTGAAGAACACCACAGGAAGAGTCATGCTGTGGTTTGGTATCATAAACTTTTGATATTTGGAGATTTTTGCAAGAATGTCTGGCGGCAATCTGCAGTATGTTATGTCAAAATATAGATTAGTAGAAATATAGATTCCTAAAGCTGTCAACGTCTCCGTGTCTCACCTCTTTGCGGCTCTCGTCCAGCTCCTTGCTGCTCTCCACGTTGACCATCGCGCTGTTGGAGTTGGGCAGGTTGCCCCCCGCGCCGACGTTTTTGGCTACGGCCCCCGCCGTGCCGTCCTGGGTCCCGCCCCCGCAGTTCTCGGCGGGCACCACGGCGCCTCCCCGTGGCGAGAACTTGCCATCTATGATCATCTCCATGCCGCCCTTGTTGGGCGTCAGGTCTCCCTCGGTCTCCACGACGATGCCGTGGCGCTTGTCGGCACGGTAGCGCTTGCCCATGTACTTGTAGAAGAGCAGGCGGCGGTCGGCGATCCATGCCAGGATGACACACACTGGGAAGTACAGCAGGGTGACCAGAGCCTCCCATACCTGAAACACACAGACCGTTAAGACATCGCTTCCTCCCTTTGGGCACACAACTCCGGAAACTGGGCTCAGGTGCGATTGTTAAGTGGTATGATTCTGGTGCAATGTGGCACAAACTGAGAGAGAGGAAGGAGTGTCATGAGGACAACAAACCTGCTTTTGGAGGTGAATTTACTTTTCAGCAGTGGTATTCGGATACTTTACCTCAGTACAAGTATTAATACCACACTGTGAAAATACTCCATTACAAGTATGTAAGTATTATCAGCAAAATCAAAGTACATAAAGTAAAAGTAGAGTGCAATGTAGAGTTCCCTCAGTGTTTTACTATTATATATATTGTTTCTGGACTAATATTACTGCTGCATGAATGTGTATGTTGCATTTTACTGCTGTAGATGTTTTTAACGCCTTAATATCCTGTTAGCTAGTTTAATCTACATCAATGCATCACACTAAGGCAACGCTAAATCTATTTCCAGTTCTACAGTCTGTTTCCTTTTTTTTCTTCTTCAAAAGGTCAACTCAACCTCAGAGTTGGATGTCTCAAAACCTGGACCAAGACAAAGCCTTTAATGAATGAAATAGGTTGCATTCAGATGCTTATTCATGAACATCCAAGGAGGGAGACATGTTGATTGAGTCATGTCTCCAAAAATATTAATGTCCTACATTTCCACCTTCACCGTCAACCTCAATCCTTATCAGAGACAATTCATAAGGACAATTTAAATTTAAAATAGGCGTCTGAGAGCATTTTCTGTTTCCAACACAACAAAAAGTGATTCATGCCAAAACAAGAGCCATTCTGCCTCCTGGTAGCTGCCACCTGATCTGTATGTGTTGCATCACTTCAGCCACCTGTATCTCAGAGGGTTCATTTGGGACCAAATTACCCCCCCCCTCAAACAATGTACATAAAAAAATGGCCGTTGCCTTTGTGTCTGCGCTGACGAACAGTGCCACTCTTTCTGAGTCTGTCTCACCTCCACGACGCCCGGCGAAATGACGTACAGGATGAGGAAGAGCCAGATGTAGGCGAAGATGCTCCAGAAGGCGGTGATGAAGAACACCCGCAGGTGCTTGATCTTGCGGGTCTCGCCCTCGGGGATCGTCCACACGCAGATCCCGATGATCGCAAACATGTTGAAGGCGGCGCTGCCGACAATGGTCCCCGGGCCCAGCTCACCGGCGTGGAACTCGTGACCGCACACCTGGGAGGGACGTGGTGAGGAGAGACAGAGAACCGATGACGAGCGTAGAAACAAACTCAAGACACTGAGTTACTTTTCAAACACCCCTGAACAACATGGCTCGTTTGGCCGACTGAGCAGTCTTGAAAATGATTAAGTAGTCTGAAGTTTATCGCGAGAGCATTTTGATTCAACAACATGCAGAATATATTATAGTTATACAGATACAACTGAAAAGGAATATTTTACTTTGGAACAAAGAAATGAAAGATGATTAAGACGGATGGAGCGAGAAAAAGGAGCACGAGGAGAGTGCCGGCGGCATCGATGAATCCACATAACTCCCTGTGATAGAGATACACAGTAGTGTGTGTGGTGTGTGTGTGTGTGTGTGTGAGTGTGAGAGTGAGAGTGTGTGTGTGTGTGGGTGTGTACCTCTATAACAGATAGCAGTATCTCCGGAGCGCTGGAACCGAGAGCCATGAGTGTCAGATTGGACACCGTTTCATTCCAGATTCGAACCGTCGCCACCGATGTTTCCCCGTTAGGCATGGTGATGGTCACCTCCTTCTCCTGTTGGCCCAAAACACACAAATGTCGTTTTTTCTTTATTAACTACATTAATTCACTGTGATGAACTCCCTTCACACACCCACAGATGTGTCCAGTTATTTTGGCTGATTGCAACCTTTTACTCAGGTTGAAGGTTGGGTCCAAACTATGCAGGTGTGTATGTCAGGTCACTAGATTCATTTTGTTCCAAGCTAACTGAAGAGTGAGGAGGAGGAGGAAACAGTCTGAACACACACACATACACACGCACACACACACACCACCCAGGTTAATGGAGCAGTGTGTAGGATTTAGAGACATCTAGTGGTGAGGTTACAAAATGCAACTAACTGAACACCCCTCTGAAGACCAACTGAACTACGAGTGACTTCTGGAGGGAGTGCTGCTAGTACTTTCATTGGGAAGGATTGGCAACACGGCTGGGTTTCCCGGTTGGATCATTTAAAAAAGTAAATAATCTAGTGTACACTTTCTAGTTACTTAAGATTGTCATCTCTAGCTTGAACTAAAATATGTCTTTCATTTCAACTGAAAGGTTGCCTTTATAGTGTTAAAACTGTCTCATACGTATTCACAAACAAAATCTGCAAATCTGTATCTATGTCTATGCCTCTGACTTACGACTCGTATATCACCGTTTGTGCATCAGCTTAGCATTTTTTAAAGGAAATCTGAATACCCACCTACATGTGTGGATTCTTCTGAGGCTGTTTTACTGTGCCGTTTCACACAAAATACACAAATACAGAAAGCATGTGACTTGTAAAATGTCACGCGACACCGTGGTGTTGCTGAAGTCAAAATACTTATTCAGAATACATCTTAATTCTCGAGCTCACTGTGTGTTTCATACTCACAAACTGCAATGGAATTACTAATTACAGCTGTTTAAACATATAGCATTCGCTTAAACTGATACTGACTTTTCTTTTTCTTTCTGACAGGAAACATTATATTATATTATATTATATAATATATATTATATCCTTCTCTCCGAGGTCACCGGACTCCATTGCCAAAAACAGTAATTCTACCTTGCAGAACACGGGACTAATCATACAGCCCTGCATCAAAAAGTTCAGTTAATTCCAAACTTAGCACAGCTAACGTTGACTCAGCTAGTGCTTGCATTCACATTATTCATAACCTTATGATTCGTTACTTTGGTAACCTACGTCACTGCTCTTCGGTATGAACTGAGTGGGCGCGACACCCCCCCAGAAAAGAACGCAGATGGAGTCGACCTTTAAGCAGGCGGGAGTGTAAATGAGCTCTTACTATGGGAATCACTTCCAGTGAGGAGAGGAGGGCGTGGCAGGAGCCATGTGATAATAGACTGTCCTTGTTTGCCATAATGTCAATTAAGGTGAGAGGGAGTTTAATCTGGTTTCATGTCTTAACATACTGCAAGTGTCAAAATGAGTCATCTGAATGGCTGAAAACTCTGCAGGAAAAAAAAAGTGCCTGTGCTTCGGATATGAATACAGAAGAACGTATTTGTATGTTAAATATCAATCTGTTCAGCTGCACATTTAAATAAAGGTTAAAGAAAGAGTTGTATTTTTATTGATTGTCTTTTGCAGACAGCTGACTGGCTTTTCTAATTTCGGGTACCAGGCACCTGAAAAATAGAACCTTCTGAGGATCCAAACAAAACAGGTTGTTCCGGTCTCTTAACAAACTGTACGTTTGAATTGGAAACATTACATCTGATGAAAACGGCACTGTTACTTCACAAAGGAGCATGAGAGTGTCCTGGCCAACGTAATGACACCGAGAGGTTTAGATATGGCTGTTTGATACAATATTTGCATTAAAAAAACGGGCCCAACCCTACTATATACTGAGATTAGACTACACCTCAGCACCTTCCTGCTGTGTTCAGTTAAACAGATACACTTTATGATTCTCTCTGCCTCTGGAAACAGCAGAGGGTGTAAACTATTACAGAGGATACATGGAAGGAGAGGGAAATCTAAATGAATCTCCATTAAGGGAACTGATCAGACAAGGACATGACGATGCAAACACACTAACCTTGAGCACAACAAGCACTTAAGAGTGATTAAATATGCATGCGCCGCCTGATAAATGGGTTCATATAACAATAAGACTATTTTTAGTCGGGCAGCATGGTTCCTGTCCAACTGCCACCGATTACAGAGAAGTTTGAGAGCTAATGGTGAATGCACCATTATCTCTGTGGATGTAAGCCAGCGCTATATGAACGGGGGGATATTTTGTGTTTGTGAAAGAATGGTATCAGCAGGCAGCATCTAAAAAGCCCATAGACATGAAAGACATAAACATATGTTTGTGTCATTTGTGTCAAAGGTTTAAAGATTAGTAATGCTGTTTTTCTAACTTAAAGAGAGTAACGTCTGTACAACTGAGATATCGACTGAAGCAAATTATGAACTTAAAAAAAATCTGGTCAAACCCAAAGAACCTACGGAGAAACTCAAACCTTTTTTATCAGAAACATAACAGCACTGGACACTTGAGCCAATGTTTCCAATGTATTCATCCTCAACATGTTTTGTGTCATGGTTTCAGAACGATGAAGACAGTTGAAGAATATTTAGATACAAAATAGGATGTAAGAATTACAGGATGATTATTTTTCCTCTTGGCAACGATCCTGTTTGTCCCAAATAATGTAGAGATTTTACAGGTGTACAGGTGCTTTCATACTGTGTTGATGACAGGTGCTTCCTGAAACTATTTTGCTCAAAGTCCAAAGCTTCCTGAGACTTTGGACTTTGTGCAAGTTTCATAAATTGCAAGATATTTTATGGACTAAACCATTTGTAAAATAAAAAATCAAGTCATTAATGGATAATGTAAAAAAAGAAGTAAATTGCAGCCCTATCTGGAGGCATGTAAGCTTTTTTAAAATTGTATTTACCATCATCAAATGAATTTATAACATTTCGTTTGCATCATGTCCCACGCATATATTCCCTCCATTCACTCGTTCTCACCTGGGACGTGATGACCTCTATGGACGCCATGAAGCGGTCAGCGATGATGGACACTCCCAGGAACATGTACATGAGCGATGCGAAGTAGACCACCGCTCTGGCCACCTGGTCGCCGAGCCCGGGCCGGTTGGGCTGCCAGACGGGCAGTATGATGCCGGGCTTGCACTCCGACACTTCCTTGCACTTCTCAGGGGTGCTGTTGGCGTAGGACGCGGACGGTGGGAATGAGGAGGGGAACATGGAGGGCGTGACCGCTCGGTACCCGGGGCCGGTGCTGGGGTCGCTGCTGGGGTCACCGCGCTTGGACTCCGGCTGGCAGGGAGGCAGCGGGAGGAGGAGGAGGAGGAAGAGGAGGAGGCAGGGGGCGGGGGAGGCCAAGAGAGACATGGCTGGCTGTGTGTGCTTCCCACGAGAAGTGGGATGAAAAAGGTGAGGCAGGAGGACGGCGGGATTAGGCTGAGGAAGAGGGAGGTGGGAGGGGGGGATGCTGCGTAGAGCTGAAGGCGGTGCGACTAGCTCACCTAGAGGGGGGGGGGGGGGGGGGGAGAGAACAAAAAGAGAAATGAGGTTTTGTGACTGATGTTATGGTCCGGCTCTAGGACCATAACAACTTATGGAAACACATGCAAGAGATGAACTAAATAAAGACTTGTATTAAACAAAGATTAAAACCAGTTTACCAAATGTAACCAAAATGTGAATTCTAATAAATGATGCTGGCAGGGAACATACTGCCAAGTCAACTGAGGTAATGTTAAAATAAAGTATACAACAAATGAAATATCCAACATAGCACAAGGTGTGCCAGGGGAAAAGAAGCCCACAATCCCACAGGGCCGTCACACTGGAGACACCTTTAAAATCCTCGGGCACATTCTAGAGGAGTGGACACAAAGCAGACCGGTTCTAGATGGAGAGAGTTGAGGCCCAGACATGTCCACCTGAGACTGAGAACGTTATCCTGAAGCCGTGTTTACTTACTTTTCACGATCATGCTGACACAAGAGGAAAAAGGAGATGAAGTCTTAAAACCAGTCTGAGTCAAACACACTCACAGACACACATGCTGTCGATATGTAACATCTGTACAATTGCCATATCGACTGTGGTAAATATGAACTTAAAAATCCATCCATCCATCCATCCATTTTCCTCCGCTTATCCGGGGTCGGGTCGCGGTGGCAGCAGGCCAAGCAGGCTGACCCAGACCTCCCTCTCACCGGCAACATGTTAGCTGCCTCAGGAGACACCTGGGCCAACCAGGCCTTGAAGGTCTCCTTCTTCAGCTTGACGGCTTCCCTCACCTCCGGTGTCCACCACCGGGTTCTCGGGTTGCCGCCACGACAGGCACCGATGACCTTCCGGCCACAGCTCCTAGCGGCCGCGTCCACAATAGAGGCTTTGAACATGGTCCATTCGGATTCCATGTCCCCAACCTCCCTCGGGATGTGTGAGAAGTTCTTCCGGAGGTGGGAGTTAAAGACCTCCCGGACAGGGTCTTCCGCCAGACGTTCCCAGTTCACCCTCACTACACGTTTGGGCTTGCCGGGTCTTTCCAACCAGTTCCCCTGCCATCTGATCCAACTCACCACCAGGTGGTGATCAGTTGACAGCTCTGCTCCTCTCTTCACCCGAGTGTCCAAGACATACGGCCGCAAATCAAATGATACAATTACAAAGTCGATCATTGATCTCCGGCCTAAGGTGTTCTGGTACCAGGTACACTTATGAGCCACCTTATGTTCGAACATGGTGTTCGTTATGGCCAAACCATGGCAAGCACAGAAGTCCAATAACGAAACACTATTCGGGTTCAGATCGGGCAAGCTGTTCCTCCCAATCACCCCCCGCCAGGTTTCTCCGTCATTGCCCACGTGAGCGTTGAAGTCCCGCAGGAGAACTATGGAGTCGGTAGGCGGTGCCCTTTCCAGGACCCCTCCCACCGACTCCAAGAAGGCCGGATACTCCGAACTGCTGTTTGGTGCATAAGCACAAACCACAGTCAGAACCTTGTTCCCCGCAACCCGTAGGCGCATGGAGGCGACCCTCTCGCTCTCCGGGGAGAACTCCAACACAGCGGCGCTCAGCCGGGGGCTCGTGAGTATCCCCACTCCCGCCCGGCGCCTCTCACCCTGGGCAACTCCGGAAAAGGACAAAGTCCAACCCCTCTCCAGGAGCTTGGTTCCAGAGCCAACGCTGTGTGTGGAGGTGAGTCCAACTATATCTAGCTGGTATCGCTCCACCTCCTGCACCAGCTCCGGCTCTTTCCCCGCTAGCGAGGTGACGTTCCACGTCCCTAGAGCTAGTCTATGCTGCCGGCAATCGGCATGCCCAGGCCTCCCGCCCGACCTGCCGCCCGGTCAGCATTGCACCCGACCCTGGTGGTGGGTCCACAGGGTGGCTGCTCCATGGTGTTTCTTTGGGCTGAGCCCGACCGGGCCCCATGGGCGAAGGCCCGGCCACCAGACGCTCGCCTACGAGCTCCCCTCCTGGGTCTGGCTCTGGGAGGGTGCCCCGGTTTCCCTGGTCCGGGCGAGGTGGCTAAAGTTCGTGGGCTAACTGTAGTTTTGAACCGCTCTTAGTCTGGGCAATTGACATATCGACTGTGGTAAATATGAACTTAAAAATAATTAGGTCAAACTCAAAGAACCTACGGAGCCAGCAACAGAAACTCAAACCTTTTTAGCACAAACGTAACAGCACTGGACATGAGCCGGTGTTTACAATTTATTACCTGGACTGTGGCGGCACGCAGTCTACGCCAAGTCTATTTTGTCCCACAGTTTTATAATGAACCGAAAATATTTTTACACTCAATGGCTGGGCTCGCTGGCTCTCTTTTGCGCATTTCCCACTGAGATGTAGTGGATTAGAAGTATAAAGTTAAATGAAATGGAAATGCTAAAGTAAAGTACAAGTCCCTCAAAATCGTACTTAAGTTGCCTAAATGTACCTAGTTAAAATTCCACCACTGCCAGAACAACAGTATAAAATTCTTCATCGATCGATGTGCACCAGATTGATGCATTTCATTTTAAAATCTTTGAGGGAAATGCATAAAAGATATTGCACAATAAATTGAACTGCGTCAGTATATCCACTTGTTTGCAAATCCACTAACTCTTTCTTTCTTTTTTTCCCTTTTTAGTTTCTTTTCAATGTCAATTCCATTTTAAGATGGTGCCCATGTTTACCAAGAGCCCTGACTCATCTATCGACACAAACATCCATTCAGATGACATTTTCCACGGCTCACACGTGGGCAGAGGGTCCTTGAACACTAAGTAACAACTCAAGTGGGTGCATTTAGACATTCAACTTCAACACAAACTTCTGAGAAGATGAAGGGCAGACCCCGACACACTCTCGTCATGGTGGTGAGTCACCACTACCCCTATGAAGGGCACGAGCAAAATACAATAACGTTTTTGAGGCAATAAAGTTGTACAAATGTTGCTTCAGCCTTCTCCATATGTCAGAAATCCCTACTGTGCTTCTACAGTGAGTCACACAGGAAACTACAAAAGTGGCAGAGAAGACAAAATAATGTTATGGGAAAGAAAGGCGGGGCTAGAAAGATAGAACAGGAGGTTATGAGAAGGAGATGAAGAGCACGAAAAAAAGGAGAAAGATGTGGAAGAGGGAAGAGATGGATGGAGGTCGATGGATGTGGAAAAGTGAAGGTCGTCAAAGAGGAGACAAAGAAACGACAGAGAAAGATAATCAGAGAGAGATTAGAAATAAAGGTATTGGTAGGTGGGAGAGTTAGATGGAAGGAATAAATACCACAGGGAGGGAGATGAAGAGAAAGAAAAGAGTGAGAAAGAGGAACCTGGAGCGAAAGGTGAAAACAAGGGAGGAAGATCGACAAACGACATGCACAGAGAGACAAAAGAGACGGGAAAGAGAGACACAAAAGAATTGAGCGCGGCTTTTGTTGCTGCTTAACCTGCACAAATAAGATGAAAAGAAACTTTGCAATTCTCAAACACCCGCAGAGGGTGAAATGCACCTCTTACTGCCCTGCCAAGGAAACTAGCATCGCAGTACTCCTGTGCTATTTGAACATATTTAAGTATATGCAGACATTTGGCGCAAAAATTGGCCCCTGTTTCTATAAATAACCCTCACTGCAAAAATCTATATGTCTAATTTCACAAAGATTTGCACTAATATCAAAACCCAGTTATATTTAAATGATAAGCGTCTACAGAGAGTTGGTGGTAACTAAAGGACATTTAGACATTCAGAAGTCTATCGAATGTCTGGGGGTTTCTAAATGCTAAATTGTTTGTTGCAGCAGCTGCTAACAAACCTACGGCCCTGACATGCACATAGACTGTATATAAGGAGTAGACGTAGTCATCGAGACGTCACTCATTGGTTTGTGGACTATCGTTATGAAGCCTCGAGTTCAGTGGTTTCGGCGTCGCCATCTTGAATCACGGCCGTCGCCATGTTGTTTTTGCAACCAATGAACAGAAGTGACCATATTTGGAATATGGAGGAGTGACGTAGAGACGCCGTATACGTCTCCGGTAGCAGCAGCGACCTGTCACTCACAGTAGCCCCACCCTCTGCTTAAGGTCTATTTGACTCTAAGTGGACCATCATTTACTAAATGAACATCATGCTGTATTGAAGAAGACTTGAAACTAGAGATTGAGACCATAAACTCATGTTTACAATGTTTACTGAGGTAATAAATCAAGAGAGAAGTAGAGTCATTTTCTCATAGACTTGCAACCAGAGGAGTCGCCCCCTGCTGGTCAGTAGAGAGAATGTAAGCTTTAAGACAAACATTCCACGCCTGAAGTTTTGCCTTTGCGCCTCATCTGTCAGGACCAAAATCTAAATTTTCTTTTTCTCTCTGCCATTGTTCTATCTACTCTAATCTTGGCCCAAATACATTTATACTCTGCCACATGGATAATGGCAATCAGAGAGCAAAAGAATGGCACATTGCACAAACTTCATGTGCTTGTTTGCACTCTAATTATCGCAATGTCTTTTGTGGATCGCACCTCAACACGGGCTAGATAGCGGTTGCAAGTGATGCATAGTTCATGGTGCCATCAGCGGCCACAATCCATTCTTTGAGAATTCAGATAATGAGTGTGTGTGTGTGTGTATGTGTGTGTTAGAGTATGCAAGAATGCCAACTGGTGAGATTTAAACCTCAGCGTGAAACCAAAGGATGGACAGATGGACGGAACCCTGTTTTCCTACGGTACGATAATCTTTCTACCGCTCTCTTCCTGTCATGCTTCGGTCCGTTCGTGAGGACGAAAGCACCTGTTCTCACCTTCTGTCTTAAAAACACACCTCAGCTAATCTCAGTTTATCGTCACATCAAACGATTTCATCCGTTGCCTTTTTCTTTCTTTTCCTTCTACTCCCCAGAAGAAGAAAAAACAGAAGCTTCCTGTTGCCATGTTATAACAATTCCTGTTCACACAACAAACAAACCCAAGGTCAGCCTCTTCAAATGTGATAAGCCCAACAACAAAAGCGGAGACGC